GCAAGAGGCCTGCCTGGGAGAGAACCTGCCTCAGGGAGGCGGAATCTTTGGTGAGCCAAGGCTCCAAGTTCCCCGCATGTGCCCATTGTTCCAATAGGACTTCACTTATATGATAAAACACAAATTGAAAGATAATATTGAAGAGTATTATGCTAAGGGAAATAAGCCAGTCAGAAAAAGTCAAGTATCACATGATCTCACTTATATGTGGAATCTAATGAACTAAATAAACTGACGAACAAAATAGATCCAGAGACACTGAAGCATGCAACCGACTGATGAATTTCAGAGGAAAGAGAGGGGGCAGGAAGAGATTAACCAAAGAACTTATTTGCATTTGAAAATCGTGCACTGGGAGAGGGGGGTCTCAGCCCGCCTGCACCCTCCCACAGTCCAGGAGCCCTTGGGGGATGTCCAACTGACGGCTTAGAGAGGGCCTAACACAGCAGCTGGATATCCTTAGCGCTGCCACGAAGGCAGGAGAGGCTCCCGCCGCCACCACTGCGCTCGCCAGCCATGAGCCCAGCTTCTGGCTGAACTGTGCTACCACTGTGGGAGCTCACTGACCACCAGGGGGCAGCTCCTGCGTTGAGCGTCTGCGAGTCATAGAGACCAGTCGTTCACCGTTTGGTTGGTTTGCATATTAGCCTTTTATTATTTATAGGATATGCATAACCCATCGATAGACAATAGTGCCGTGAAGGCCTAGGGAGGGGTGGGAACCAGGTGGAGAGGGACAATTGGGGGAAAAGGGATATCTGTAACACTTTCAACAATAAAGGGAAACATTATTAAGAATTTCAAAACAGCATCTGCAGAGCATTACACCCAAACATGAGGCCTTTCTGAGTATGGAGCCCTGTGATACTGCATTTATCATACAATCTTGTAGCTGGGCCTGCCTTTGAGAAGGTTGTACCATATCCCCTGTACACCAAAGCAGAGGCCATCCAATCCCATTTGATGCTTACTTTACACAGACTGTTAATGATTTTATTCAAAATATTGCTTTCCCCACTGCATCTTGGTTAATACACACACACACACACACACACACACACATGAACACATGCATACTACTACACTCAGGCCTTATAAAAACAGGGAAACCTTAACAAAACTTTAAAGTATATTTAGGACACATTCTTTCAGAAATTATGGAGGTGGTTACATTTTAAAAACATTTCCCTTCAAAAATAGTTGGAATTGAAAATATTTACAATTAAAGAAGATAGGCTTTAGTTGTTAGAAAATTTTTAATTATGCCAAACACCTCATTATCTTTTGATGTTTGATATTTGATGAGTTGGAATAGCTAACGATGCTAATTATTAGTTACATAATTTATGCTGTTTTAAAAAATAAGTTTATTTTTATAAAAAATTCCATACATACCTGGATTGCATGCTTGTATAATTTATATCAGCTATTCATCTGGAGAATATCCAAACCATTCTATCTATGTGGCTAAAACAAGGCACAGTGACTATGAGGAAAACTGCTGGAGTTATAAACACTGTAGTGCTCTCAGGAGGAAATAACCAACATCCATAGTGTTAAACCCATTAAGTAATGGTGATCATCAGAATGACAGACCTTCATTTGTAGCTCCTCTTGTTCTTTCTTATACTTTTGGATTATTTCTTGGTGTTTTTCCTTTTCAATATCAAGTTCCAGTTTAGCTTCTTCCTTAAAGAGAAGAGCTTGCTCCTCAAATTCAACTAAATGTTGGGCTCTTTCCTTGGCGAGTTCAGCTTCAATCTAAAAAATAGCATTTAACACTCATATAAAGCCATTTTACCATAAAATAAGTAAATTAATCTTATTTTCAGGTTCCAATTTTTTTTAAATCCTCACCTGAGGATATTTTTCTATTGCTTTTTAGAAAGAGTGGAAGAAAGAGGGAAAGACAGAGAGAAATATCGATGTGAGAGAAACACATCAATTGGATGCCTCCTGCATGAGCCCTGACCAGGGCCTGGGCCGGGGAGGAGCCTGCAACCAAGCATCTGCACTTGACTGGAATCGAATCTGGGACCCTTGGGTCTGCAGGTTGATGCTCTATCCTCTGAGCCACCACGGCTGGGCCAGACTCTAATATTTTTTAAAATTCTAATTCAAAAGATTAATATAATTTTTAAATTCTAGTATTTTTTAAAAAGTTGACTCAGAACTTAGGCCAGAAAAATTGACCTTGGGTCAAATATTTCAAGATCTTCTAAGACCTGAAAATAAGTAGAAAAGTTAGAACAATATATGATTACAGTTTTGAGAAATACTAATAGCTTTGTCTTCTGTACATTTATACTTAAACACAGTCCTTGCCAGCAATCCTATTTTTAAAAAAAATTTGAGGCCCTTAGACTAACTTCTGTTGAAAGTCAGAGGGGATATAAAGTACAAATGTTGAGTTTTTAATGGTCCTTTCTTGATGGAGACCATAGATGATCATTTTAATGTGATTGTGGCCAGAAGGTTGTTTAAGGAAAACATGGGTCAGTAATGCCTGTATCCATATTTTGACTCAGATAGAATCACAGTGCTGGAAGGAACCATAGAAATCCCTTAGCTCAATTTCTCAAGCTTTTATGACTAGTGGAAAGAATAAACAAGGATTTTGGATTTAGATAGAGTTGAGTTTAAATCCTGGTTCTGACACTTTCCAGTTGTATGCTGTTAATTGTGACTATAATTTTTCCTGGTGGGGTTATGACTAAAGTTCCCTTGGGGGTCCTTATGAGGATGAAATGGGATGAAACATCTAAGTGAAGCTGTAGCATGAGCAGGGTTATAATAGTCAATGGAGATCACTTCTATGCCCCGATCCCTCAGTCTCTACCATGGAATCCACACCAAATGATTGTCTGCTCTGTGCCTCTACCATAGAAACTGTAACTCACTCCTTTCCCAGCAGGCGTTTCCATTTTCAGACAGCACTAAGCATTAGGCACTGCTTCCTTTAGCTGAGCCAACATCTCTCTCCCTGTGGTTTTTAACCACTGTTTTTGGCTCTGCTACTGGAGCAAGAAAGAGTCCTGGATTCCTTCAGGCCTGAGAGTTCATCTAGTGAGATTAGAGAAGGGATCCCAGTGACAGGCTGGCTCTGGATTTACACTGTGCCATGATTCTAAATTCTCAGGGGGAGTTAATGCCAGATAACTTGGTAGAAAAACTGTCAAACCTGATTTAGTGAGACTCTGTGGTTGAGGTCACCGTAAGAAGAGGAGAGCTGTCAGTCTGCATTTCTCAAGGGAACACTGAAACCAGATTACCAGGAAACAGAGAGATTGCTAAGAAGGTTTGTGGGAAGCCCTTTAAATGAAATAAAATGCAGACAGAAGCCTAGCTCCAGTGTGGGGTCATTGGGTTTATTGTACTGGGTACAGGTCTGAGCATTTGCCCCAAGGCAAAGCAATTATATTTATATTCACTGCAATAAATTCTTTTGGCTCTCTCAAAATCAATTTCTGGATTGTTTAGGGAAAAGGATGCTGGTGATCATTTAGAAACATATAGGGTTGTTCAAATGTGTTGCTCTTGGACTACTAAAGACAAGGAACACCTTAGGGCAGTGGTTCTCAACCTTGGCTGCACATTAGAATCACTTGGGAATCTTTTTAAAATCCTGATTTCTGGGCCTCATCCTCCGGAAATTCTGTTTCTTTGTTACTAATGCTGTGGCCTCACCCCATAACAAAGAAACAGAATTTTGGAGGATGAGGCCCAGAAATCAGGATTTAAAAAAATTCCCCGGTGATTTTAATGTGCAGCCAAGGTTGAGAACCACTGCCTTAGGGGCACTCAGAAAAAAAGAACAGATGTTCCTGTGAATTCCAGGTACTTACATCCACCTGCCTCCTGGTAGCCATTTAGGAACTTCACAGGTGTCTCAAATAAAGTGTCTGAACCAGAAATCTTGATACAAAAACCTGTCTCCACCTGTTCTGCCCCCAGCACCCCCCCGCCCCATCTCAGGACTCAGAACCACCATCCATCTAGTTATTCAAATCATTCCCCTCTCTCCCTTACCCTCCACACCCAGTCCAGCATTAAATCCTGTTCATTTTGCCTTTACAAAATAAAAACTGGATTCTCTTATTCCCTCTTAGTGATTTCTCAGTGCATTAGGATAAAATCAAAAGGCCTCTACATGATCTTCTATAGGGCCACTACCAGCCTATATGACACCTTCATGTGAATCAACAAAGCACCCCTTCCTTAGATGAAGTCAGCCTCATGCCAGGCACAGTACTTGGTGAGCAGAGCACAGGCTGGATTGCAGCCCCCTTCTCTCCCTTGGCCTGTGCTATTGTGCAGGGCACAACCCAAATGCCATCTCTGGCAGCCCTGGACTTCTCCAACCTAACTTTCCCCACTTGATCACTGTGCTCCAGCCACACTGGGATAGATAAGTCAAGAACACATGAAAGAAGGAAATCAAATGCAAAACATTTGGAAAGATCGCAAGGTATGACTGTAAGAGTTAACGGCCCACCAGATACCTTGACAATATTTTAAAAAACCCAACTAAGTAACATTATTTAGAAGCTCAAGAACAATGTTGAACTATTTGTTTTTAAAAGATCTATGTACTATTTAAAACTAAGTCAAATTAGCATTCCAGCTATAGGAGATTTATTAATTGCAGAATTTTCACTGAATAGTAACACCATTGTGCATTGGGAACCAATTTTAAATGTTCAGCATGCACATTAATTTTCATTCTTCACATTGAAACAACACTTCAAGTAAACAAAAATCCATGGCAATTAGTAAACATATAGTTATTTTCAAATGTGCCATCCTTGTTGCATAGCAACAGTTGATTTTGTTATGTGCTTTTTACGTACTCTAAAGTAATTAAGCACAGGCACAAATGGCTGTCTACATTTTTTAATGATAAAGCACTTAAGTTACAAAGTTTATTCTAATATGTGTATTATATATTTATAAAGGGAACACTATATTCCTACACAAAGGCACAGTGACCCAAGAAAGAGATGACAATGTCATATTAGTGATTCTTCTTTCTCATGAGAGGACTTTCAGGGAACTTTTTATTCATAGCTTCAATAGCTAACACAACCAGGACATAATTATCATATCTTGGCTTTACTGATCTGGATCTTGATTTACTGCTAAGCTGAATTATAAGATTTATTAATAAGAAGTCATGCCCTCTCAACAAAATGAAATTTTATAGAAAATGTTATAGAAAATGTTATACCTGCCAAAATACACCTATGATGTAATTAATTTATTAGAAAGATATCATGGTCTTAGTAAGAACTTACAGAATCCTATACAGGTTTATTTTCATCATCAAATTAACAGCATAAAGCAAGAACATAATACTCTTATATGGTCAGATGCCAACACTAACTTGGTCTACTGGCTGCATTAGCACCTCAGGGACAGAACACAGTGTTCAGTAATACTAGAGTGGATCATGAAAGCAAAGAGTTCACAGGAGCCTGTCTCTGAAAGTCCTTCCTGGGGTGTGGCTGAGGAGATGAGAAACTTATACACAAGCAAAGGCAGGGAAGTTCACTCTATCTAGGCCAGTGATGGCGAACCTATGACACGCGTGTCAGAGGTGACACGTGAACTCATTTTTTTGGTTGATTTTTCTTTGTTAAATGGCATTTAAATATATAAAATAAATATCAAAAATATAAGTCTTTGTTTTACTATGGTTGCAAATATCAAAAAATTTCTATATGTGACACGGCACCAGAGTTAAGTTAGGGCTTTTCAAAATGCTGACACGCCGAGCTCAAAAGGTTCGCCATCACTGGTCTAAGAGGAGCTAAGGAGCTAAGGGAAGAGAAGGATCTGTAAGTCTCTATAATACTTTCATGAGTGAAAATTTTGAGTCAAATATGGGATTTATAATATGTCTTCATACATACTGCCAAACTGCTGTCGGAAACGTTGCTGTAATTTCCAGTCCCATAAAGAATATGAAACATGATCTCACTAGTCCTTCAGTGCAGTGCAAAACCCACTCTATCAAGTGGATGTGTGAAAAATAATCTCTCATTGTTTTAATATGGTTTTTTTATTGTTAGTTAGGTTGATCATCTTTTTGTTTTTTTTTAAACATGGATCAGTAAAGATGGGGGAATGTGAATAAGAATAGATTCACCAACTGAGGACACTGAGACTAATAAAAATTAGAACTAATTAAAGAAATATGAACTTTAGAGAAGAAAAGAAAAAGACCATGCTACAAAATGAAACAAAATAAGAATGAAACACTTAGAGCAACTTTAGTTCATATTCTCAAATTCAATTGTTGCCCATATGAATCAATTTAAGTCATAACCAGAAAACCAAGGCAGCAGTTAGTGCTAGCAATAGGTACCAGCTGGGGAAGAAAAAGCGTTGGGAAGGCTTCAGTGCACTGTGCATTGTGCATTGGTCTAGGAAATTCCAGAAGAAAACAAATGTGTGCATAGAAGCAAAGAAATCTATTTGGAATAATCTTCTGGCAAACAAACAGAACTTTAAAGAAGCACATAAGACACATGCTGATGAAAGCTACATTATCATTACCTTCTCCCTCCAGTTGGCATCATCCAGCCGCTTCTGTCGAAGGGCTTCCTGCAGCTGCTCAATGCTCTTCTGATGTGAAATCAGCATCAGTTCCCTGAAAACCATAAACCTGACAAATGAGTCAAGTCTCATCCCTAATACTCTAAGTTGCACATCTTGGTTCAGAGAATATAATTTCACAACTTAGTCTGTTTATTCTCTTTAGCAATATAGATAGATAGATAGATAGATAGATAGATAGATAGATAGATGATAGATAGATTCTACTAGATATGATTTTAACTGTTAACAATAATTCACAAACACTGCATAGTAAGGTATTTTCTCAGGCTTAATTTTTGTGTAATAAGTAATGCTATTTTTGCATGAAATAGTAACAACATATATGGATTCACAAATATAATAAAATGTTATACATTGTGGTTCTAAAGTTTATGACTAAATTCTAACACTAGACAATATTTTGCTTTGTTTTTTAAAGGAAAATATGTTGGGATGTGCCATAAAATCAGCACGTTTGTGGTCTCTGTTAGATTTATTTTTCTTTTACTTATCTCAAATGCTGATTGGAACACACCAAATCAAGTGGAGGGTAAATTCTGAGGTGTGATATGGAATAGTACAAAACATTAGAAAATTGAAAACACAAAGAACATTTAACATTTTAATCCACATAAATGGATCCCAAAGCTTAGTTTGTGATCCTCTGGGTGGAGGTAATGTGGGGGATTTGTGTGAACTTTTCCCAGGGGCACCCAAATTAGCATTTGACTATCACAGGTAGTGGCAAAAGCATGCTTCAGGGGTCCTCAAGGCCACATGCAAATACAAATGTTGTATTTGTTCCCGTTTTGTTTTTTTTACTTCAAAATAAGATATGTGCAGTGTGCATAGGAATTTGTTCATAGTTTTTTTTTAAACTATAGTCCGGCCCTCCAACGGTCTGAGGGACAGTGAACTGGCCCCCTGTTTAAAAAGTTTGAGGACCCCTGGATGCTTGTTGCTTAGGGTTCCTTCCTGTTTCTATAATCATGACTCTTCTTACTTTCTATGTAGGAGATTCTTCTCTGTTCCTTATTCCTCTTCCTAAGCCCTTTGTTTTCCATCACCAACCTCTTCCTTTTACTCTGATCCCTTTTCTCAAACTCGTGACTTTCATTTATAACTGCTGCTGGACATCTGTATCCTAGTGATGCATCAACACCAAAGATTTCACACATTAAAAGGAAAATTCACCATCATCTCCTGCAATCTTGCCTTTCCTTTTGGCTTCTGAAAACCTTTCTTTAACAATCAAAATCTTTGTTTGAAATCCCTGAGTCATCTCCGACTCTACCTTCTCCTTGTTCTACCACATCCATTCAATAACAAGTTCTATATATTCCACTTCCTCCTTGTCAAACTATTTCTTCCCTTCTTTTCCCACTACCAACTTCATTAAGCTTCTTGACTTTATCTTCTGCCTAGAGTATCATAATATACCCTCAATCTATCTCTTAATCTCTATTCTAGTCTCACTCACAGTATTATTAAATTTTTTTTTTTACTGTAATGAAAATAGTGCCTACATTTCTAGTCTAGAAAATTTTAAGAACACAAACATAAGAAGACACATTTAACTTGGTAACCAGAAGTATAAATATCACTTGAGGGAAACTGAGAAAGCAAAACTTTCCAGGCTTCTCTTTCCAGAAAATGTGTTAGACAAGGTGCCTTTACACTTTTCTACTAAAAATAAATAAAATTATTTTTTATTATAGAAAATATAAAAATTCATCAATTAACTGGACAAAAAGTGAGAAAGATAAAGAGGACAAAACTCAAGTGAAAGAATGGACAAAGTATCAGTGGAAAACTACTGAAATCTGAATAAAGTCTTTCGGTTAATTACATTATACCAATGCTAATTTCTTAGTTTTTTGCAGAAAAGTGGTTATGCCATGGTTAAGAAAGATAGGCTAAATGGAAAACATCAACTCTCTGTACTGTCTTTGTGACTTTTATATAAATACAAAATTATTCCAAACGAAAGGTTTAAAAAAAATGAAATGAATTGGAAGAACCCCAGCAAAAAGTAGAGCACTGAAGCTAACTCTCATCTTGAAAGTACTTTCCAAATATGAAACTTGAGCTTTAAAATTTACAGCCATGAAGGCACAGGAACAGGATTGACAAAGGAAGAGTCTAAGAGGACACTCACCTGAATGAAGTTGCATCTCAAAGAGCTACTTACAGTATATGTGTGAAATTCACGCTCAGTATGTGTAAAATAAAAATAATATCTCCTCTCAAGGTACAAAAAGGAAATTACTGGCTTTGAATTTGGGTGCTAAGTAGAGAGGGAAATACAAATATCTCATAAGAATTTATAGACACAAACCAACCCTAATGCAAATTTGTATTTTGAATTCATATTACCTGAGTGGTCCCAAACACTTCATGTTGAAAAGAAAACTTAAAGTGGTGCTAGTTAACCTTGCCTCCAGATGCCTGGTAGGAAAAACACCAATATTTTGGGGAGAAATCTATCTTAAAACTGGGGCTCAAAGAATTCCTACTGATAAAGATATAAGACCTATGAGATCATAGTATTAAAAAAAATCACAAAACTATTTTTTAAAAACCACTAACAGGAAGAATGAATAAACACAAAGGTAGCATAATCAAACTCATGAATTCTAAAGTATTAAATTTTCATATACAGAATATAAAATAAGGATGTTCAATACAGTAAAATAAAGAAATAAGAGTGATTTAAATGACTAAGTTTGAAAAAGAACCAAACTGAACTTGTAGAAATGACAAATATGGTAGCTGAAATTGAAAACTCTGTGAATGGCCATGTAGCAGATTATTCATAGCTGAAAAATGAAGTGATAAGCTGAAAGGGATATTCAAAGAAAGTATATAGAGTGTGGTACAGGGAGTCAAAAATATAAAAGAGAAGTGGCTATATTGAAGACAAATTGAAAATATTCAGAAGCAAAGGAGAAAGGGAAAGGAAGAAATATCTTGATGAAAAACAACAACCCACAAATCTAGAAGCTCAATGGATTCTAGTAAGATAAATAAAAATAAATCTTACATCTGAGCACCTGGTAGTGGAAAATTAAGAACATCAAAGTTAAAGAGATCTTAAAAGCCAAAGAGAAAAAAAACAAAACTACATTATCTTCCAAGGAACCCAAATAAAATGAAAGCTTATTTTCCAACAGAAACAAAAGAAACCAAGAACAGTAAAATAATATGTTCAAAATCCTATGAGAAAATAACCAGCAACCTAAAGTTGGGTACCCAGCAAAACTATCTTTAAGAATGAGACTGAAATAAAATATGCTCAGATAAATAAAACCTGAGTGTTTAGCACTAACTAAAGGACCTTTACTAAAGGAGCATGAAATAATATGCTTTGCAGAAAGGAATATATTCAGAAGCAAGGTCAGACAGGCCAAAAGAAATAGTGAGCAAAGTAACTGACAAGCACACAGGTGTTAACTGTAGATGCTTTTTTATTCCTAGTTCACTGAGAACCACAAAATGCAGGTTGGTGGTTTCCTCTGTGGGAGAATGTAATGCAGTGGAATTGGGGAGAAGCACGAGGGACTTCAAAGTTAATGGCAAAGTCCTTTTTCCTAAACTGAGTGATTGATACATAGATGTTCATTGTGTTGTACTTCTTCATACTTTACACCTATATAAACCTTCTATGTATCTACTCAATATTTATAAAAACGAATGATAAAACCTGAGTATGGAGTAGAATGTGTATGTGGAGGAAAGAGAATTAAAGGGAGAGACCAAGGTAAGAGAATGGGCAGGTTGGTAGTACGGTGGGGTTTACTGACCACTCTGCACACTATGAGCAAGGCGGTGTCATCAGGCCTTGGAGGGACAGAGGTGACTTGGGAAGGCAGGGTCCCCGTCCAAAGGGTGCTCAAAATCCATTAATGCAAAAGGAAGCTTTATCTTTGAAAGTGTGAAGCAGACCACCAGGTTCTGATGCTTGCTCAGCAGTCTGTAGGCTGGAGAATGGCAAGTGACACAAAAGGAACAAAGGAGGAGGACACGGCCATTCCTGTCTCCTCTGCAGACTCATCTTCCTCTACTTGTCAATTAATATTTGTGTCCTCAGCACTTTGGCCTGGCCCTTTTTACTTTCTTCTCTTTCTCTAGGTGATCTTATCTACTTTTGTAATTAAAATGCAATAGAGATGCTGACAGCTTCAAAATTTTATCTCTAACTCATATCTGTTCCGATGCATCTGACTCATGTATCCAACTCTTCACCTGACTGCTCTAATTTTGTATTTCAGAGAGATCCAAAACTTAACTTGTTGGTAATCTCAGAGGCTTACAGTACTAGTTTACTTTTTGCTCATTAGGTGTCATCTGCTGCTCTGCTCCACTTTTTGTTCCAGGATGCAGGCCAAGGAGCAACTCTTACCTGGGAATGTTGATTTTGTGGTTTATAGAAAAGAAAACTTACCAAAACATAGGACCTGTTAAAGCTTCTGCTTAGAATTGATACATATCACTTCTCTTATATTTCAGTATCAGGAACAAGTCAAACAGCCATGTGTGATGTCAAACTAATGTGGATAGCATAGTCCTCTCAATGGGAAGTGCACAGTAAGCCACCTGGCACTAAGTGGAGTCCATCGCAACTCTGAGATCCTCCTGGAAGCCACTATGAGGATTCCCGCCCTGGAGGTGGGAAACATTCTTTGCTTAGTCTGTGGTTCTTTCATGTGGAAGTGATTTCTCAGTCCAGTTTTCTCCACCGCTCCTGACTTTCCTCTCTGCTATGTACTGGTCTATGTTGACCACATTAGAAGAGGGCATTAGAGATTCTGCCCTGTTGGGAAACAGCTTTCTCAACTTTCATCCTCTCCATAGACTATTTGCCTTATATGGCAAAAGGGACTTTGCAGATGAGATTAAGGATCTTGGGATGTGGAGACTATCCTGGATTATCTGGATGAGTCCTAAGTGTAATCACCAAGGTTCTTTATATGAGAGAAGAACGTTAATGTGGGGGAAGGTGATGATGTGACGACAGAAGCAGAGATTGGATTCATGGGTCCAGGACCCAAG